AACCTCAGATATAGTGGATGTCATATTGTTATATATTTTATCAGAACATTAAAAGTTTCAAATACATTATGGTTTTTTTAACTCGCTTAGTGGGGGATGCAGTCCAACTGGGTCCACTCGGCACGGCGGTCACTAATTGGCCTATTATAGCCTGTCCCGGGTGAGTATGATGATGGATAATTCGGTGGAATGAAGATTTATAGGGGAAACCGAAGTACTAGAAGAAAATCCGCCCCAGTGTCACTTTGTCCACCACAAATCCCACTTGACCAGACCTGGGCTGCCGCGGTGGGAAGCCAGCGACTCACCGCTTGAGCTATGGCGCGGCCTATACATTATGGGTTCTGTCTTCACTCGCTAGGAAGCCGGGATCGTGAGTTCGAATCCCACTCAGGGCATGGATGTTTGTGTGCGTTCTTCTGTGTTTGTCTACAGGTAGATGCCTTGCAACGAGCTGATCACTCGCCCAAGGAGTCCTACCGTATGTTTAAGATCTAGTAAACCGAAGTGAAACGGAGAGTTTCATGGAGGTAGGCCTAGGCCAAAATTGGGGCTGTAGCGCCATAGAAAAAAATACATTATTGTTACATGTGGCTGTGAAACAGTTCTCATTCTGTGGAGCAAAGTAAATGGTAAGGTGGAATCGGGGGAGGAAGAAAACAAAAAGGAAATTGTGATGACAAATTTAAAGCTGCTGGGCATTACAAAATCGGTTTTGTACGTATTACATTTACGAATGTTGCAATCCAACGTTTAAGCAAATGACCATTTAATTAACACAGAAAACAGACACCGGACAAAGAGTGGAATTGTGTATGTTGAGTTCCATTTTGCTTCCTGCTATTTTACTCTCTTGAATCATGGCGTTTTTCTCAAGCGTTCGACTCAGTTACGGTAAGTCATGCACTTTATCCCAATTAATGTTGATGTTTTGTGTTAGCCATGTTTCGAACGGTGTTAGGTGGCAGCTTCAGACTGCCTCAAGCTAAAATTTTCATGTGGGTGTCGAAAACAATAGACGTTATATTTGGGCTGAAAATTTTCAAAATATCCATATAAAACGAAAAAAAAGTGGTTTAGTTTCACAAAAGAGAAACACGGTAATATCGTTGGGAAGAAAATATGTGGAAAGTGCAGTATATGGAAAGGCAGCCCGAGATGGAGAAATTGGATTTTAGAGAGCAGTATATACATTTTGCCTACCGAGGGGGCACTGTTTCGAGGAGCGAAAAAGATGATGAAATCACTATCTTCTCCAAGGGGAGCAAAACGGATCGATGTAGGAATGCTTGCACACAAGAATAAGAGAAGCTTGAGAAATTCTGGTTCATTGGGGGAAGGGGGGATTGTCTTTATGGCGGCTGGCTTTGATTTTGGCAGTAAGAAATAACATTCTTCATCCCTCTGGAGATGGCATGGCCGCAAATGCTATCTGTGATCCACTAAACACCATCTATAGCTTAGCTTCAAGCCTCGAAAACAACTGTCTGCTGTCAGAGCAGGAGCATTTAACGGATAAACCACCTCAAATAATTTATCTTTGCTTGGAGATTTATAATTAAAATACAAATTTTGCCATAGTCGTCTGTTAAATTTCGATAAAATTGGCATATCAGCAGTACCCAACAAATCGCCAAAAATAATTCGTTTGAAAGGAAGAAAAATAGCTGACACACATTTGTAAGTCCCAAACAGAAAGGAAGCTAAAGGTACGTTGCTTTATTACTGATGTTCCAAAAGTAAGAGTGAATACAGACTTCTTGTAGCTCTTCTTGATATGGTCACAGCCTATTAGATATTTTGATCCATCTGGTCTGACCATTTCCTGCAATCGGTAAACCCATTTCAAGGGCGGTTCAGTTTCGTTATTTTGGATGGGCACACTACCCACAACAACAAAAAAATATTGCATTCTTGGGAAACTCACGTGAAATGCGAGTGTAATGCCACACATGCGTACATAGCGCCGGTTACAATCCCGAAATATTTCGTTTATGTAACCCTTGAGTATAGGCTGCCGTCAAGAAATTGCAATATAGTTCAAGAAGACTTCAGAGAAAGCTGTGATAATAAGTCAAGTTTTCTGTGTGTTTGGAAAGGACCGCAGGAGAACAGTCACTCCATGCAACGCAGATAGTTTTTTTAAGAATACTGGAATCTCCCCTATGACCCAAAAATTTTCCCAGTAGAGAACTCTCGCTGCTGCAGAGAAAATAGGTTGACCATAGTTCTCCTGCAGACTGGGGTATCAGTGTAACTCACATGTCAATGTTAAAAATAGCGCTGGGGCAAGCAAAGGTTCCCATGAGCTGTCTGCTTAACAGACGAAATACTACAAAAGATCAAGATGAACCTGCATCTGCTTTTAATGTACGTATAAATCGATTCCTGCTCAAACAGGACACAGATTTGTCTCACGTCAGTCGAAATGACGTAAAAACAACACAGCGGGCCACAAACACATACAGGACAACATAAAGAACCCTCTTCTCGAGAATGACAGGTGGCACACATTGGGCCCCAGTCAAAAAGAAATAATAAGAGGGACGACACGAACCAGCTTGGTTTACGAATTCTAATAATCTTATCAAAAAACTAAAACTAAAACTAAACTCCTTGGCTTTAGTCCGCAAGCGAACTAATAATCTTATGAAACTAACTATAAATATTTTAATATATTGGAACAGCCGCTGTAGTTGTAAAGACTTTAGATTTTACACTCAATTGTATATTATTTATATTGTATGTATATATTTTGACTTTTAGAACATGTACTGTAATGGTGGCTTCTAATTGTATTTATGTGAAGATGTCCCTCTGAAGATGGTCTCTGAAGACCGAAACATGTAAAGGCATGAATAATTGAAGTAAGAAAAAAAAATCTTAACCAGTCACACTGGACGGAAATATTTAACTTTTTCATGACGTACTGTCTATTCAGAAAACTAAACACTGCATTGAAGAGCAAACGGCAAACTCATTGCCTCAACCAACTACGCAATCGCGTGCTCCCTTTGGGTCACCCCCGTTGTAAATAGGAACCACTATGACTTTCTTCCAGTCACTTTCAATTGTGGCATTATTAATTGTTACGTCCAATAATCGCGCAAGGTACGGAATCATGGCTTCCCCACTCAGTTTTAGAATTTCGCCAGAAACGCTGCCCGACCCTATCGATTTGTTTTTACCTATCGCTAACGTTTTCCTAATGATTTTAGTACTAATGGCGAAGGGTTGACCTGAGCTAGCGCCCTGTATTTGCGGGATGCTACCCTCACAGCTGAATACCAAAGAATGATCAAATTTCTATTGAATCAGTAATGACCTGCCCATTACCATTTTTTTTTTACCTTGGCACTACAGCCTCAGTGGGCCTTGGCCTACTTCCATGAACTTCTCCGTTCACTTCTGTTTTTCTTGATCTTACATATTCGGTAGGACTCCTTGGGCGGGTGATCAGCTCTACCTGTACACAAACACAGAAAAACGCACACACACAAACTAAACATCCATGCCCTGAGTGGGACTGCAGGAATATTTTCACTGTTGCCTTTACGTCTTTTTGCGTACTTGTAGATCTCAGTCCAGCATTTAGCTTCTTTCTTTAGTATACCACGTAGACCTTAAAAATATCTCCCGTGCATATTTTGCTAATAGTAACTGCTTTGATAGTTGTTTCAGTTCCACTCCGTTCTGCTGTCCTAATTCCCTTCTATTAAATGCTTTTCTCACTTCTAACTTCTGACTTTTTCACTTCATTATTTTGGTATTCAGGGGCCGAAACTTTACCTAGTGTTTTACGTGGAATAAATCTTTCGAAACTCTCAAGTATTACGTTCTTGAAATTATTCCATGGCTCTTCAGCACATCTACCATTGCTTGCCCATGTTGTGAATTTATCCCGGAGGAATGTCTGTAGGCCTTGCTTTATAGTATACAGGGACTAGTCTTTCTGCTTGAGGTCGACAGTAATTTTCTTCTCCATAAAAATTAACATGTCTCTCAGATATCTGTATTTAGTTTAATCACAATTCTCTAATTGTATTTTGATTACCACAGACCCACAGAAAGACGATGTTAGAGGACATTTTCAGACAACCGTGCTTAATCTCAAATCAAATATTCAATATAAAATGCACGCCTTATTAGTTATGTGAATTGGATCGTCAACACAACACTAGCTCATCTTCAAGGTGAAGATACAATAGGTGTTATGGTGTCTCTTACTCGTTTATTGTAAGCAGGTGTATGCTACATGTTTCAATATTTACTTAGGTAATCATTAGGCCGGCATGTACTGTCTTCGCTCGCTTGGAAACCGGGATCGTGGGTTCGAATCCCACTCAGGGCATGGATGTTTAGTTTGTGTGTGTGCATTTTTCTGTGTTTGTGTACAGGTAGAGGCCTTGCGACGAGCTGATCACCCGCCCAAGGAGTCCTACCAAATGTGTAAGATCTAGAAAAACCGAAGTGAACGGAGAAGTTCATGGAGGTAGGCCTAGGCCCACTGGGGCTGTAGTGCTAAAGAAAAAAAAATCACGCCTGATGCTACAAGAAATAGCCATGAATGAAAAAACTGAAATGTAATATAACAGAGATATGATAATAAATACAAATATATAACAAAGAGAACTAATAAATGGAAATACTTAACAAGATATGCCAAAACCAAAAACTTCAGCAGTAACGATTTACTCAGAATTACGCGAGACATGTGTCTGAAGGCCACATACGGAAGAGCGACCAAAAATGTCGTAATATTCCATAAACTGGGCGAGCGGTTTAGCACACGATTTTAAACAGAATTATCAAGAACCAAACAACAAAATGCGAGGCTCACAACAGCTGAAATATCGCTGTTACCATATCCTACGCACAGCACAAACCTACACGCAAGACAGCCTCGTGGTACAGAACAAGAATAGCTGGCTCATAAACGAAAAATGCAAATAATTTCTTCTTGCCGTAGTAAAACACGTAAAATAATTCTGCATACTCACAAACACAGTCAGGCAAAGGGCTCTCAGGCTGGAGCTTCGCAAAAATAAACAGGCAGTCCATTTAATAACAAAATGTAATTTTGATTCATGACAAACACAACCACACACACTTCACCTTCTCCTACAAGAGATCGCGCTAGTTAGCTGCCGGTAAGAAGACGGACAAATAAGGGGAGGGTCACGTGACACGATAAGAACTGTGACGGTAAGAGTGTCACCTGGGGAAAATGTAAATGGTTAAGGATGACAGACAACGCAAGAGGGCAATCCGAATCGCCAGTGAGCCGTCGAGGACGGATCAAATGGATTCAAATTTTACGTATCACATCATCTGTGCTTTGTACTGTACAGTGTACACACTACTGCTCTCGCAGAACATGATTTTGCGTATCACAACTTGGTATGTGCTTTGTATTGTACAGCGTATATTGTATTGCTCGCGCAGAACATGAAGTCAAAGCTGTTGTCCTTTAGCTGCAGCTGGGATGAGCGAAACTGGTTTGAGTGAAACTGTTTGTGTTTACGATAACACTGCAGGTACCAACATCGTCATATCTGTTTTCGTTCCCAAGTACCAGGTGCTTGAATTCCCGTCATTGTTTTTGGTAGATTCTGTATTTACGTCCCATGTGCATAGTGTTCGGTAACCTTACATACAGCAATACAAACTTCTGCTATGGCATACGCCCCACAATAAGTTTAATCGTTTTATGCGCTTTAGGCCTGTATTGTCCCTTCTTTCAGCATTTTAAAAATATCTGCATTGTAACTCCATTCTATTCCGTTGCAAAACAAGGCAAGACAAGGTAAAATAAAATAATTCAAAAATAAAAAAGCGAGACCTACAAAAATTGAAAACGACAAAAGCAATGATGGCAATGCAAGGTGTGAATGAGACCCTTAACGCGACTAAAAATTACAGCATTTCTTTTGTTTAGGTGCACCAATGCCGAATCTGAAATTATGAATGGCCATTAATAACAATCCATAAATTCAGTTCTTCAGAGCTATTTCGCTAACAGAAGATAAGTTTAGGGATACTGATGTTATTGGATAAATTCACATTTGAAAAGAAAATTTCGCTGAGAATATTTCTTAAATTTTATTTCAATAATATTTAAAAAAAAATATGCTGTTCTTGATGCTGATAGAGCTATCCAGAGTAATAGTGAACATACTATAGCATATACACCCTTTGCTAAGTTATGAATATGTAAACAATGCCGGTTGCTAAGCAACACGTTCCTAACATGCGCCAAAGTAGTGGTTGGAAAGCGGTGTTTTCTGGGCGGTCCAGGCCGATGGCTGTGCACTCAATAATGGATACAGCAGGAACGGAACAGTGTTTTCTGCGTGGTCCGTCCCTAGATGTTATAAGCAGGACAATTAGTACTAGAGGAGAACTGGACTGGAATTCGCTGAGGGCTAAGACTGATGCTAAATACAGAAGAAGTAATTAGGGAACAATCTGGAGAAGCCAGTGCCAAAACATTTTAAGAAATACAGAATGCAATGGAGAAATCGCTGGGGAAAGAATGAAAACAACCGATTTCCTAAGAGGGCACTGTATTGTGGGAGTAGAAATGGAAGAGAAACTGGAAGACCGAGAAAGACTATTCGACCAGTTTTGATTATCGAACCTTATCGCTTCGAAACAGGAAGTCACAGTCAACGCCACATTCACTGAGATCAATCAGCCATACTTGGTATCAAAGTCTCATCTGAGACCCATGACCAGATTTTAGCTCGTTTTAGTCTCAGAACTGACCATTACGCCGCTCACAGTGGCCTCGTGGTCTAAGGCAGGAACTGTCTTCACTCGCTCGAATTCTGGGATCGTGGTTTCGAACCCCACTCAAAACATGGATGTTTTTGTGTGCATTTGTTCTGTGTTTGTGTTGTCCTATGCAGGTAGTGGCCCTGCGACGGGCTGATCACTAATGCGAGGAGTCCTACCGTCTGTTTAAAGAAGGATTACGAAAAACAAGAGGAGGCTGGGGCCCAACAAAGGCTATAGAGCCATTGATTACTACATGAAAGTGGAATGAATGAATTGACAATTAGGATCTCGAATCGTACTATCTGACGAGATGGGACTTCCCAATTGGGAAGACTAGTGTTTTTTTTTTTTAATTTTAAACTACGTGCAGTGTAGCAGCTACGTGAGAGTATACACCTGATGATGGCCATTTACGGCCGAAACATGTAGTGTAGAAGAAAGGAAGACGAAAGAACTACAATAAATTGTTGCATTTAGGACGGAGTTTATGTCACATATTGTGTAGAGTGTAACAGGATGCTTAAATATAATATTGTAAGCGTGTATTCATATCTACATACACAGACTTAAAATAACTACTTTCTACGTACATTTATATTCTAACTGCTAGATGTTGATTAAACCCAAGATCATGATGAGTATTTGTACCAACCGTCTTACAGTGCACACAATTTCACTTTTCTCTTCACTACATGTTTCGGCGCTAATGTGCCATCATCAGGTGTGGTTTTACTTACGTCAAACCGATGCACTGTATGCCATCATGTCTCCTTTATGAAATGATTAAAATGTATATATGTCATGTATAATAATAAAGTTTATATATCAAGACTTTTCAAGATTTATCATCTATACGTCGCACTTCAAATTCGCGAGTTACATCAATCCTCTCCTTTGGGAGTACTCTTCGTATATTCTTGTGTATATTGTGTCCTGTCTTGTGTTTCCCTTGTGACTGCGTGCGTTGTACTGCTGGATATCCAGAATGTCGATTGTTACTGTTGTTATGTTGTCTACTTTATATGGTATGCTCTGCTGTGTGGTCTATGTATGTAGATATTCTTTTTATTTATTACTTAAATAACAATCAGAATTACAGTATTCTATAAGCTATTGTGATAACATTGGGCTAATAAGCCCGCCTATGGCAGGATGAGGATCCTTCCACCGAAGGAGCCTCTGTTTTTCACTTGAGGTCAATTTGAAGACGTCTGTATGTAGATATGAATACACGCTTTACAATTCATAATTAAAATATGTAAATCACAATATCCGAGGATGACCTATAAGGATAGAAACATGTAGTGGAACATAAGTTAATAAATTACAGTTGCGTTGACGGTCGAATTGGTATTATAAGTTGTACTCACGCAACAGGATGCAGACATTAAAAATAAAATAGCTTATGCCTATACATCCAGTATTATACAACAACTGGTGCTCTTAAACACGAATATCTCAGAAGCCATCCAAGGAAAGTTAACATTATACTGTACGGTGGTAACAGCAGCATTAATGCTGTGGTTTATTTTGCACTGAAGGAAAATCATTTACTGGTCGAAGGAAGTCGCCTGCAAATTAGAATGTGGATGGACGAGCTGGTAGGTACAAGTACTTCGATTTCTCCTGCCACTTCCCAGTCCACCAAGTGATTCGCATTCATTAAGCATCATATAATCGACTTCATGTAGTCTCGATACTGACAGTGGCTTTAAATAACCAAATTTAAATACAGCTAAATATAGTCAGGAGGAAAAGATGCAGCATGCTCATAGACGAAAATTACTATGCTGGTGACAATGAGGAATACGACGAAAGATCTCGGAACAATCTGGGTTCCAGCCAAGATTTCAATTTGGTATCGTACCACTGCCACCGGGTAAAAACCAATTTGCAGTTCGAATCAAATAATGATAAATAATAATATGAACATAGGAGTATAGACAATTAAAATGGATGGGATGGGGGTGGTATGGATTGATTGATCTGACTCAGGATAGGGACCAGTGGAGGGCTCTTGTGAACACGGTAATGACCCTTCTGACTCTATAAAATGCATGGGAATTCTCGGGTAACTGCAGAATTGTCGGCTCCTCAAGAAGGGCTCAGCTCCATGAATGAGTGAGTAAGAGGAGTATAGAAGGCAAGAGAGTTACCATTACTGCAACCTCTTGGATCTGAATTGAAAACCCAGCAAGCCCCTCATTGCAAGCACATTGGGCTGTACAACTAGGGAAGAGAAAGGTTTCCAGACATACACCCGGCAGTTCCGTTATGTTTATGAATACATGCATTTAGAGCGCAGACCACTCCGTACGTTTGTATGTCGGAGCAATCCGTTACGTACAAACGATCGTACGCTTTTGGATATGTAGGTAGTAACATTTAGCGATATGTCCCATGTAACCGAGAGCCGTCCGTAATTCGAATATCTGTTCCTAGATGGCCGACTTAGTTCATTCATACATATCTGCCACCAGATGGCAGAAATACGATAAAATAGTATGTCAAAGACTCTCCCATCAACTCAACTGAAGTTGCGTTGCAGGTTTATTACTCTACCTTAAAACAAAACAGTTTATGATGATTACATGATGCTTTCCTAAGAATTTATTTTGCATATGTCACAAGTAGAATGATAACTAGGTTACCATCCGATATATTGTCTACAGTTAAAGAACAAATGTAGTTTACGTCGTATGTAACTTCGCACCAAATATCTTTTTGGTTAACGTGCTTTGATTGTGATACGTTCGTAGTTCGCAGCGAAAGAAAATGAGGTTCACTCAGTCGTTTAGAGTTTAGTGATTGGACGTAAAGGAAGAAGGATTAAACTTGTTATGGTATACGCTCGAAATACGTGAGTATTAATATTAATATAATTGACGTTACTTTCCCTTCTCAAAGATATCAATACAACGTTAGCTTGAGCCCCGGGCCTGTTAAGTTGAACAGTGTAATGCGTAATTTTAACAAGTATTGTGACTTTAAGAGAGAGAATATTCTCATTTACTACACATATCAGATCAGTGTGATGTGTGTTATAAGCGTAAATAGTGTCGAGAACTTAAAGGTCCGTTATTTTGTTTTCAGTATAACCTTTTGCTAACCTATCTTGTGTTGGCAATTTCTGCAACGACGAATTGTTTAAAAATAGGTTAAAAATTCACTGCGGTTGATTACCCACATCCAAGTCTTACGTATAATATGAATATATATATATATATATATATACGATTTTTTCCCTAGCTATATTATTTTTCTCGTGTTACTCTGCAATGTGTTTTGCTGTAGCTGTTGACTTTTAACGGACTATGTAAAGCTAAGATATTTTCAAACATGCCGCGCGCGGAATGTGACTAGAACTTTCAT